TTCTTACTGCTGTCTTTCAGCCACACCCCTGGTAGGAAAGATCTACACCTAGCCTTCTCGGACAAGGGCGAAAAATCTCGGAGGGCCCGTGTCCAAGTTGCGCACGTTAAAGATCTCTTGATGGTCTAAAATCGATAAGAGTAGGCTTCGACGCCACCCGGGCAAAATTCAAAATTTCCTACCGACTGAAAATATTAGGTGTGTCCCGCGCGCTCATATGACCTTATGCAGTTGCGACCGCCGTAAAACACTTTACAAAAACAAAAACAGAAATTTGACCTAAATGATTTTGAATTTTAAATCATGACAAGCTTTTTTTCGAATGCAATTCTTTGAATATCTTGATAACGACTCCAAATAATCTTAGGATTTTGAAAGAGCAGATAGAACATTTGGTTCTGACCTCATGGTTTCAGTAAGTTACTTTCTTGGGAGGTTGGGGTTTTTTGTTTTTTGTTTTGTTTTCGGTTGTTGTTCTTGTTGTTGTTGTTGTTGTTTTTTAAAGTGTTTTTTTTAAGTTACTTAAAACAACCAAAAATGTCAGATGGAACTTTGTAACTCTGAGGCAGAAGCAAGTCGTCATTGACTCACTGATGGGCGGGGGTGAAGGCACGACCCCATCAGGGCCGGCGGTGGGAGGGGCCCGGTCAGGGCCGCCTACTATCACTCCAGGGGCCAGAGTCGGGATCAGAACTGGGTCAATATCTCCAGGTAACTGGGCAATGAAAGGACAGAGAAAGCTCATTAATTTATACAGGTGTTTTTTTTAAGCTACATTTGCGAAACCAGTAAAAAGTAAAGTTGTTCCCGCATCCGATCCGGACATTGGGGATTGCATTGTCAGTGAGACAACTTCCAGTACCTTATTTAAATTCAGGAACATTTGTAAGAAACAGTACACTTCAACAAAAGTGATCTACGAGCAAAGAAAAAAAAAGGAAAAGAAAAAGCATGATGTTAGGTATATCTTGAGTCACACTAAAATTAGTACATCTAATGTATGGAAAAGGTTACGTTTCTCGCATGTATGTTTTAATATGTGTGTGTGTATATGTATATGTGTGTGAGTGTGTGTGCGTGTGTGTCCGCGTGTGTGTGTGTGTGTGTGTGTGTGTGTGTGTGTGTGTGTGTGTGTGTGTG